TTCTAGCTGCGAGGCGACGGTGCTAACCACTGATCCACCTGCAGCCCCGACATGGAGATAATGAAGCTGTTTGATAATTAGTTTTAGTGAACTGTTTATGCCTTAATACTACTTAACAGGCATTTAAACATTTTTCATGAGCAACCATTTCAACTTTTATGTCGTTACTTGATGAACAATTTCAACAGTGATCTGCTACTTTCAGCTAAAGATGCTGCCATCTCTTTTTTAAATTTATTTTTTCCTTTATTATTTTTCGCAGAGCAGTGGAGAGAGACAGGAGAGAAGAGTGAGGAGACCTGCAACAGCTGGCAACACCTTCGTTAATGGTTGTATGCTATTAACTAGCATTAGCAAAGAGCATCACTAACTTGACTTATTTAAGGGCAAATCCTACACGTTTTTAAATGAAGCCGTTTCCTAAGGGTCATGAGTGGGATTCAAACCCACGACCGCTGCATTGAGGAACTACAGCCCCTCTGTTCATGGGTTACCGTCTTACTTAGCTCCCGGGGCGCCCAGTGCCGCCATCTTTAAAGCTAACGAGTTACCTTCAGCTAAACATGTGAACCATTTACCCATGACATGTAGGTACCTATGTCAACCATTTATTCATCGCTTATGGAGTTTTAATTAAGACTTTTGTCCGTTATTATTATTTGCTAAAAATGTCAGTGAATCCATTAAATGTGGCTAAAAGTGTAAACCTGATATAAAGGTGCCGACTTTCAACCATTTATGAATCACTTTCAGATAAAAACCTAACCTTATTCATTACCTTTAGCTAAAAACTTAATGAACTGATTTATCTGCTGCGTCTCACTGAAGATTTCGTGTCCGTTATGTTTCGCTGTCAATTCAAACCTTAAATTATGTCTCGCTAAAAGTAAATATAAACTATTTTTAACATTTAGAAACTATTTAAAGCATGTATTCATTACTTAGAGGTGATTCATTCAATCTTTTGCTCATTATTTAGTAAAATATTTTAACCAAAGCCAAAAGTTTATCCGTAGCTTTTAAGCAAAATTGTCGACCGTATTTTAAATCATTACTTTTAAGCATTTCCACTGTTTATCCACAGCTTTCAGATAAATATTTACACTTTCTATCACTTATTTTGAGCTAATTTTAATCATTTTCTAACACTTCTAGATGACCGTTTAACCTGTGTATCCACTGCTGTGAGCGAAACAACATCCGTGACTTCTAGGTAAACGTTTTGACATGTTTTAGTCTCAGCGTCTATTGAATCCAAATGTTTGATTAGTTTTAGCAAAACAAATCCAAAGCATTTATAAACCACTATTAGTCAAAACAAACAAACAAACAAGTAAACAATTCATCCAGTTCTTTAAACCAGTGGTTCTCAAACTGGGGGTCAGGGCCCCCATGGGGGTCCCAAGATCATTAAAAAAATAAAAATTAAATAAAAATAAAGCCTACATTTATCAGATAAATGTGCATCAGGGCTGTCAGATTTAAACGTGTACACTTCTTCCTACTCCTTTTTTGGACTTGTTAATATTAAGATGTGATTATATTTATTTCATTTGTTTGAAATAAATTCAATTCATTCATTCATTCTAAAGATAATTAACGTGTTCACATAAAGAGATGAATCTGTGGAATTAACACGTTCACTTTTAACACATTAATGCCTAAACAACAAACTTATTACTCGAGATATTAAGAATTCAAACCGGGGGGTAACAAACATGAACTTCTGTTGTCTTTTTGTCTTCAAAAAGTTTGAGAATCGCTGCCTTAAGCTAAAAAAAACACTTTTAAACTGTGACCTACAGACGACTATTTATCGTTTAAATCATTTATTCATTAGGTTTAGATAATTCCACCTGTTACTGGTGGATTTTAATTTGTAATTTAAACATTTATCTGTTATGTTCAGCAAAAACAAGTACAAAAAAACATGATATGTGTTGAGTTTTAAGTAAAAAATGTGAGTTTAAGCCACTTATCTAATACTTATAGCAATTTTTCCCCCCATTTTATTGGTTTATGGCTTCTAGAGACACTTTTAGCTCATGTTTCGTGCATACATAAACATTAAAGCTGCATTTATTGCACTTTTAGGAGATGTGTGCTTGAATACATGTGAGCCCTAAAGCACTGGAGCAGAATATTTGAAATCTTGCTTGATAAGAAGAAGTCATCACCTGATTTACACCTCATGATCTAAACGAAACTTTGATGTTTGAAATCTCCACATGTCATTTTACTCAATATAATTTAGTTTTAAGATTATTTTTCTTACACTTGAGCTGTTTTAACCCAAATCCTTCACATCAGGACACTTTTTTCAAGTGAAAACCAGAAGAAACACAGAACCTCTGACCTGCTCCGACACCTTCTAGACCAGGGGTGTCCAGTCCTGGTCCTCGAGAGCCCCCATCCAGCATGTTTTAGATGTTTCCATCTTCCAACACACCTGATTCAAATGATCAGCTCATCATCAACCATCCTGATCATTAGAATCAGGTGTGTTGGAAGGACATGCTGGACGGGGGCTCTCAAGGATCAGGATTGGACACCCCTGGTCTAGACTCTGAACTGCACTCATCACAAACCCTCCAAAGACAGACTGAAGAACCAGCAGAGTGAGGAATCGTGTGTGTGGATGCGACAGAAACAGAGACGGAGGTTTGGTTGTAAAAGCAGACGAGAAAGTCAGACCTCGGGGGAAGCCACCACAAGACGTCTGAGAAATAAGCAGAGGAGCGCCGGTGAAGCATTTTTGAAGTGTATTCATAATTCATATACATATTGACAGGTTTCTAATACAGCATGGGTTCGATAGTGTAACTGTCTTCTTTCAGCTCGGCTTTTTTTTCCTTTTTTTTTTTTACAAGAATAACAATAAAAAATGATAAAGACAACACCATGTACGACTCACTTTTAAACTTTTTATGGCAATGCTTCTTTTGAATGGATTTTTGCATCTCCCCCCCCCCCAGAACTGAACCGGGTCGCCGAAACCATTCAAAAGTACTTGGTCGGGCTCCGTCCACCCATCCACCCTCCGAAGTCCGTTTCCGGAAAAACGCTTCAACCTGTGCACCCGGTACACATGTCCACCCCGATGAAACCTCGTCCAGCTCATCCAGACACGCTCTAGTCGATACCTCCTCTTCCTCCTCCTCCTCCTCCTCCTCCTTCGTCCTTCTGCACGTTGTACTTGAAAAATAAGACTGCGTCCATCTGATTTTCCGTGAATACTATCTGTACCGTAAAAACCCCAGTGATGAAAAATAAGAACACTTTTCAAAAGGACCAAAAAAATGGAATCAAAGACCCAGATTATCGGCGTTTTTTTTTTTTTTTTCCTCTCTCACACGCGCACTCGCAATCTCACTCACGCACGACTTTTGAAAGGCAACAGATGTCCGTTCTCCAAGGCAATAATGTCTTTGTGGCAAAACTCAGACCCTGACATTCCAGACAACAGCGCTCTCTGGCTCCTCCCTCTCCAGGAATGAAAGAAAAACTAAAAATGAAAAAAAAAAGGATCCAATTCATGTGTCGACTGAATATAAAGTGAGATACATCCGTTTTTCATGAGTAAATACTGATGAGGATTACAAAATAATAATGAGAATAATAATCTTCCTAATATCGTAAAGATAAAATACAAAATTCGTTCTGGTCTGGGTGTCGACGCCCAGCTCGCTCCCCTTCAAACGCAAACAAACCTGGAAAAAAATAAAGATAATAAAGATGACAATAAACACTTGAAGGATGTCTCTGGAAAGTCAAAGTGAGCCTAGAGAGGAAGTTTCTTTTTGTTCTGCGTAGAAAAGCTCCGTTAGTTTTCAGTCCTTTGACGTCTCGTTTCGTTCCACTTTGTGTTTTTTTTTGTTTTTTAAAGTCTTTTTTCTCGTAGCTCCGTTCCTCCGAGTTGCGCGTCCGTGTTTTTTTCTTTTTTCTGCTTTTACGTAAAGAGCGATAATTCTCTTAAAAAAAGGTTTTTTTTCTTTTCTCCATTGTCTTAAATGTAAATGATTCCTGTTGAGAAATTGTACATTCCCTTTTTGTTGTTCTCTGCCACAGATGCCCGTCTCTCAGTCTTCTATCGCCCGAAATCACCTGAGAGAGGAAAACACAGAACACCAGGTCACACACTGAGACATGGAAAAGAAAAGTTTTCAACCAGCGACAGGAAAACATCGATCGCCTCGTTATGACAGCAGGTAAGCGGTCGGTTCTTGAAGTTGTTGCGTTGGAAGCAGGAGAAACGGGCAGTGTACGGATCTAAGTGTCTTTAACAGACGGTCGGGTCACATCATCCCAACAGCAGGTGTCTTGTGGGGTAAATCTGATCCAGATCGGTCTACTGGTGAACTGGCGCCACATGAAAGCTGACCCTGTTATTCCCTTTTTGCACTGTTTGTCAATTCCTTATTCTTATTGATCTTATTATTGTCATTTCGGTGTGGAACATGTGCACGCTATACCATGTATAACTGTGTTTGTGACCAATAAAAGACCTTGAAATCCTTGAAATCCTTGACTCATGTGGCCTGATTCCACAGAGGAGCTGAAAACCTGAATGCAGCTTTGCTAGCACAGTGTTCCAACCAAGCATCTCAACTCACTGCTGAAAATACCTACAAGGTGTGTCAATGAAGTTTGAGGACTGGTGTCACAGAAGATATATTTCAAACTACAAACTACAAGTGTTCCTCTTCCAAATACCTCCCCTGGAGTCTAACCCACTTCTCCAGCCTTCTCTTCACGCCGCCATGCACTCCTGGAAGGATTCTTCCAGGATCCTCTGCAGCTCCGTCGCCACAGCCATCTTGATGTCGTCCACGTCTTCTAAGCGGGTCCCCTTGATGACCCCCTTGAGCTTGGGGAAGAGGAACCAATCCCACGGAGCCAGGTGGGGTGAGTAGGAAGGTTGCTCCAGCACGGAGATGTTCTTCTCAGCCAGAAGCTGTGGGATGCTCAGGGCGTTGTCATGGTGAAGCAGCCACCACTGGTTCTGCCACAACTCTGCCTCTTCTTGATGTAGTTTGGGTTTGAAACATATCTCCTGTGACACCATCCTGGAACTCGTCTGACACCTCGTTTAATGGGCACATAAGCTTTAGATCTGGATTATGGAGCAACGGATGAAGGCGGCTGACGAGGTCTGTCATTTATCTGGCAGCAGGATGCTCTGGGCGATGTTCTGCTGGAAACCTTTGGGTCCTACAATCATAGTCATGCATGGACGTTGTTCAGGAATCAACAGAGAACCATGTAGACCGGGCCTCCAGATTCTTTTACAGTCTGAGGTCTTTAACCTGCCGTTAACGTCTTGGTGCCTGATGCCACGAGAAACCTTCAGAGGTCTGTGAAGTTCAGGCCTGGGTGGCTCAGAGGAGGACCTACACAGTATTCAGCAGGTGTTTTAGTGTTGTGGCTCATCAGTATGTCCATAAACAATCACAGGTTTGATTATTATTCCCAAAAAGTGAAGCAAAGTTTTAATGTTGGCTCTCTGACTGACTGACACACGGCTCAAATAGTTGAGGCATGCATCCAAATGTGTCTTTAAATTTCTACTCCTGTAAATAGATTTCAAAATAAAACCTTTTTTTTTATGTACGTTTCACTGAGCTCAGGCAGCTGCTGCTCTGTGATTGGTTACAGTTAAAAACGCACAAAGATAAAAATAATAATAAAAATAATTAGCAAACATTCAGCATTCAGAATTCTGAATCGACGGACCGAAAAAGAGAGAATTTCAGTGTTGGTGCTGGTTTCCATGAGGATCGGCTCGACTGAAGTGAGGGGGAGGCAGTGACAGGCACAGAACAGCCACCAAGGTGAGCTGAGGAGGAGTGTGAGAGCTGGAAGGTTTTCCTCAACAGGAGCGAAACAACCGGCCGACAAAGAGCCGCCGTTGTTCTGCTGCCGGGAACGAGACTGTTTTAGCAGAAAAATCAGGTCCAAACAGGCCCGAGGCAACAAACTCATTTACCAAAGATCCACTCAAGAGAAAACAGTCAAATCATGACAAAAACGTTTCCCAGACGAATGTGAACCAGTCGAGTGGTAAAGTTGAGATTTATGCTAAAAAAACAGCACAAGTTTATAAAAATACAGGCGTGACTCGATAATCCGACACTAAATGTAAAACCTTCTCTTATGTCGGATTGTCAAGACGGAGGTCCAGATACAAGGAGGGCTTGATGCTGGAAGGCTCATTAGTTGTTCATTATTGTTCATAGTTGTTGTAATAACTAGTGTGTTGTTAGAACAAACATTTAGCTGCTAAATAAGCCTTCACGTGCTCATACGAGTGGATACTTACAGCTCCCAGACTCCTGCGTCTCTTCTTCGTCTCCGTTCCTCTCAGCCTCTCTCTGACTGCTCCAGGTACACTGGCTTGGCTGGCCGGATGCTCTGGGTAAACTGAACCAAGAAGAGACGCATCAGAAAGCTGACGGGCTCAGATTTGCTGGTGAGGAATTACAGTAAAATAAAGATATGAAATGAGCTGAATTTCACAAAAGTAAACCAACCTCTCCTTCTTTACCTTGTGCTTCGGACACCGCAACGAGTAATTATCTTCGTTCAGAGAGCAATCTGACAAAAGGGACAGAGAACGTCAATCCTGTTTGAACACAGCCGAAGAAGAAGAAAACTACGGGTAGATGGCAAAACTCAGCACTGAATGGACTCCAGGGTTAAAGAAATACAGAGCGGAGGATTCATAAAGAACCCGGGATCAATAACTTCTATCGGCTTGTGGAGAAATTAAACAGATTTCCAGTTTAGTGCTGCAACTTAAACCTTATCGTGCACATTTTATCTTGCCGCCTAATTTGTCTACGATGCACACGGAGCTCATCTCTTGTTCAACTTTGTCTGGCGCCGTTTTCGCTCTTTCTCTCGGCGCTTGAACCGTTTTCCTAAATTAAAGCCGCACAGTGAAAACACAACCGAACAAGCAGTGCTGCGTTCCAGTTTTTTGAGGAGTGAAAGAGAGGAAAATGTCAAAACAGAGAGAATAAAGCCCCTGTAAAAAACAGCCACGCTGGTCTTTAAAACGTCCACCTACCTGCCTCCATGGCGCACATGTAGTGGTAGCGAAGTGTACAGCCTTTACTGTAGCAGCCCAGGGTTGAGCCGACCATCTCGCAGTACGAGCAGCTCTGAGAAGAGACGTTACAGCACAATGAAGAACAAAACACACACCAGGATGCTGCTGAAGCAACATCAGGAAGCTGACTGTTATAGCATGTACACATGAAGTATATCTGGTATCAGTATATGTGCAGGATTTGCCTCTTAGTCAGCATTACACCACAGCAGAAATAAAAAAAAAAGCAGGTTAACTAGATGCAGAGGACACTCACTGTTTCTCTGGCGCCATCTAGTGCCTCCTGAAGGCCGTACAGCCTCCCGTTGACGAGGTACACTCCACTGGTCCACACTATGCATCCTTCGTGGACCCACAGCTCCTCTGGGTCCATGGGCATCTGAGGCAGCTGCGCCAGTTGTGCCAAGGGTCCCAGGGAGTCCAGGGCCGGCGGAGGGGGCTGGAAGGGCAGCGACGCTTTGCTGTTGGAGGGCACCATTCTGGGGGAATCCTCGCTGGACTTGTGTCTCCTTTTAAAGCGCGGATGAGAGGTCAGCTTTCTGTGTTGAGGTCGCTGCTGGGCTTCGTCCGTCGGCGGCGGCGGCGGCGGCGGCAGCGGCGGCTGCTGCAGCTGTTTCGGCGCCAGCTGCTGGTCGGGTTCCAGGTCTGGCTCTCTCTTGAGCTCGGGGATTGGTCGGATATCTAGATTCATGTCCCAGGTTAGAGAAGGTTTAGCGGTGGCGGCGGCGAAGCAGGAGGAGGAGGAGGAGGGAGGCGAGTCGGTGCTGCTGATCTTGGCAGCCACGGGCATCGTGATTTCCTCTCTTCCAGCTGGGGAGGCGGCTCTAACTGCAGGAGTGAGGCATGCTGGGTTTGAATCTAGGTTGATGGCATAGTCGCTCTCAGTGGAGGGCTTGGTAAACTCAGCATCTTGTGTTTGTGTGTCTTGGACAGCGCTCGCAGCGTTCGAGCTTGTGTCTGAATTTGGTCCCGTTCTGTTTGTGCCTGTGGTCGCTTGACATTGTCTGACCTGGGGCTGGTTCTTGGGTAGTTTTGCAGCATATTCAGCTGGATAGTAAGGCCCGTAGAGATCTCCGAGATGTTTGTAATTTGCCCATTTCTGACACAGACAACATAGCAGGCGGCCAGAATGATTGGTCTCCGTAACCACAGGGCCTGAAACAACATAGCCAGATGAAGGAAGCGCTTTTCCCGACTGAAGCGTAGTTTCCACCTCGTCTGTCTCCCGTTTCTCCGATTCTCTGTCTCTCTTAGATAACTGGGAGGAAAGCGCTGAGGTCAGGAGAGAATCAATTCCACTCCCGCCTGCTTTCCCTGCCACTGCACTACGCTCTCCTTTCATCTTGTCCTCCTCGGCGTTTACGATGGTGCACACCGCCCCGATCTCTGGGATTTTCTTCTCCACGTGGATGTGAGGGACAAACAGCCCCTTTCTGTTCGGGTCCGCTGCGACTCTGTTCGCACCGAGGCTATCTGGGTCATCTTTGGCCATCGGTGGCGGTGCTGCTGCGGCCGCCGCCGCCGCCGCCGCCGCCCCTCTCCTCCTCCTCCTCTGCCGTCCTCTCGCCTCCAGCGGCTCATCTTCGTCTTTCACCCCTTTGCGTCTCCGTCGCACGGGCTTGACCTCGATCTCCGGCTGCGTGTCCTCGCTCTCGACATCCACCTTCACCACCTGTGTGAGGATGGGCGGGGCCAGCGGGGGAGTGCTTTTACCATCTGGCAGAGGAGGTGCTGGGGGGGCTGGTGGGCTGCTGCTGGCCTGCACTGTGGGTGGGGTTGTGGCGGCAGCTGCAGCTGGAATGGGTGGGGCTGGAGGAGCACACAGAGTCGTGCTCTGGACTTGTGTTGTCGGGCCTTGGGCTTGGGCCTGGGCTGGTGTTTGGACTTGGTTCTGAGCCCGTTTTTGTTTATTCACGCTCCCCACGGGCCTGCCCTTCTTCTTGCCAGACGGGAAATAGCCTTTAGGCACGACACTCTCCAGCGGCTTAGAGTCTTGTGGCGACAGGCTGGACCTACCGGAGGACATCTGATGCTGTCTGTTCAGCATGTGTCCTTGAGCCTGGCTATGGTGGGGCGGGGTGGTTCCGTAGTAGTCGCTGCCAGGATAATCATCAAATCCCATGCCAGATTCTTGAAGTTTCTGTCTGAGCAGGTTCGCGGCAGACTGCTCCCCCCTTCTTGTCTCGAGCTGCTGGTAAGTGTTTGTGAAATGCTGAATGTCCGACAGGGCCGAGGAGGAGGGCGGCGGGGAGCCCTGCACCGGCCGAGGGAGAGGCGGGGGAGGGGGCAAAGGTCCGAGCAGAGCAAAATCCTCCTTGTCGCCAGATACCGACGCCACAGCGGCCCCGAGTCCAAAGTCAAAGTCTTGTTGTTTGAGGACTTGAGACGTCTGGTGAGGATCACATGAGTAGGCAGACGGAGGCAGAGGCCCGGCGTCGTCGACTCCTCTGAAGGGAATCATGTCATTTAATGAGTGACTTTCATCCATGTAACTATCATCCCCTCCTGAAACCCTGGGGAAATGTGCTAAGTCTTGGTCCTGTGAATCATTAAATGTTGGTATATCGGAGTGAGAGAAGCCTGGGTAATGATTTGACTCATCATCAGCATGGCCTGCTGGCTTTTTAATATTTGGTGTGATTTTCTGCACTATTGCCTCCAGTTTCAAACCTCGTCCTTTCCTGGGAGGCAAAACCTTGGCGTTGCCACTTGATGGAGACAGAGGGAGTGAATAGGTGTTCTCTCCTGGCAGAGGGGAGGAGAGCCGGGGACATGGGATATCTGAACTGGATGAGTCATCTTCATTGTGATGGCTAGACTCAGACTGAGCCCCCGGGGAGTGATGTGAATTTGTGGGAGCCCTCTGCTGAGAGGCGTCCTGGAGTTGCCTTTTGGCAGGAATGGGAGAGATAAAAGAGCGAACTCTCCTTCTCAATATTAGCGGATTTGTGTCTCCAGAACCCCCGGCTTTAGTCTGACGCTGCACCTGCGGCTGAGTGGAGTTCATGTCAGCGGGAGGCTTAGTGGAGGTGGGTGGAGGAGGTGGGCAGGGATGCTTGGCCTCCTCTGGGGCTCCTCTGGACACCTCGGGTTCGTGAGACATTTGCGGAGGAACCGGGCCGTGTGGAACCACCGGGGCGGGGGGAGGAAGAGGGGGAGGAGGGGGAGGAGGAGGCGGCTGTGTTCTGTAGTAGGCGTCTCCCTCCATCATTCGGGCGCCGTCTCTTCCGGGGTGCGACGTCTCCCACAGCTTCATATCGTAGTAGGGGCTCTGGTGATGGAGAGGCGCTTTGCTGGCGTGCTGCTCGCTGGGGATGTCGGGCTGGGAGAGCATCCTCTGCCTCTGCTCCGACTGGCTGACCTTGTGTCGCCCGGGAGACGAGCCGGGCTGCATCATCATCTCCTTGGACGGCCTGTTCATGGCTTTCACCCAGTCGCTCAGGTCGTGGGGGTGGTGAGGGGGGCCGCGGGGGTGGGGGTACATCTGAAGCTTGTTTGGGGCTTGAGGCTGAGGGGATAGATTGTGGTAGGGGTGGTGAGAGGGAAAGTGGGGATTGCCGCGTGACATCATGTTGCCTTCTCTTGCATCTCCGTATCGATATCCAGGAAACGTGCCGCCAGCGCCGCCGCCAGTGGACAGATCGACACCTAAAAGATACGACTGATGCCTTGATGGTGAAGATAAAGGATTAGTGTTCATCGGATGAGAAGGCAGGGAGGTGATATCGACACTGCCTCGCCTATAGGGGTCAGCATTCATTACAACTGATGAATGAACAGACTTTGGGTGATACTCCACGTCTGCCTCATTAGCCCCGCTGCTGCCGCCGCCGCCGTGGTGCTCGGCCTGTACATCTGCCCCTGCCTCTTTTGATGCTGTTTCCATTTTCATCACTTGTTTCTCTCCTGCATCCTTTTTACTTAGATCATTGGCTGCTGCTGCTGCTGCTGCTGCTGCTGCTGGAGAGGAAAATGGCTGTTGAATCACAGAGGCTCCACTCTGACTTTTCTCCCGCTCTCTCTCCCTGTCGCCCTCCCTGTCTCTCTCTGGTGTGCTGCGTCGGTTTGGCGACACATCACAGATGACAGAGCGCCGCTCTGATGGGGCTAATATGGAGCCTGATGATTTCTGAGACTCAGTTTGACCAATGCTGCTGGTTAGCGGCTCTGGCTCTTGCAGAAGGAGCTCCTGCACGGCAGAGGATGGAGCGGACACATTAGATAATGCCTTTCTCTGTGGCAGAGAATAGTCGGCTAAGTTGATATGTTTAGGTGGGGGCTGCTGAGGCTCCTGATGTAAATGGCTGTGTGACACACCTACTTCAGTTTTGTCAGCATTTTGCAGGATCTTGGAACTGGAGCCTTCAGATTTTACTACAGGTTGAGGGTCTGTGGTGAAATCAGGCTCACTGCCATGTTTCTGATTTGGGTGTTTTCCAGAACCACCCATTTGGGCAGAAAGAGCCAAACTCTCAGCTCCACTCTGCATCCTCACGTTGTCACTCACGCCGTAAGGAAGTCTGGTTTGAAACTGCTGCTGGACTTGGAGATGTGCAGGAAATGCCTGCTCTGGTCTCCCATAACGTCTGTCTAAATTATAACCTTGAAGAACCTCTTGCAGAAGGCTAGGGAACTGCTGCATCTGTGAATTCTCCTCATGACCTTTAGCTCCTGCTGCTTGGCCTCTCTTCACCAAAGCCTCTGCTACAGAAGCCACATCTTTGGGATGTGCGTGGCCATAAGCAGCTTGTGATTGTTGGTACCCTAAATATCTTGGATGTGGTTCCATCACACCCGCTGGGCCAGTCCTCCCTTTGTTCTTCATGGATAAATCTGAGCCATATGCTGATTCTGGGTATCCGTATTTATGTGGACCAGACTGTGGAGGGTTCTGAGGCCGTCCGAAGGTTGACTTCTGATGATGGGAGGAATACAGACTCAGATCCACTCCTTCCTCCCCGTTATGACTGCTCGACTCTCTTAAATAAGTGTGTGGCGGTTTCTCTTCTACACAGTTGTCTTGGGGATGCTTACTTTTGTCAGTGTGACTTCCTTCAGACCGAGCTGAGACGATCACACCAACACTGCCGGCATTCTGCTGCTCCTCAGATGTGTGCTTTTCTTCCCTCTCATTATTGTGTAATCTGGATGCAGAGTGCAGCCTATTTTCTTTGTCCTGACCATTCTGTGTATCGACTTCTCCCTCCCGTTGCATCTGGCCACCACCTTTCTCTGTTTTCTCAACTGAGCCTTCACTTTCATCTTTAATGACTTCATTTTTAATCTCTGTTGTCTTCCTATGGCCAGCCCTGTGGTCGTTATATGTCAAACCAGGCTCTGGGACACAGTTTGGCTGGGGAGGAGGAATACTGGAGGAGGTGGATGAGGGGGACGAGGAAACTGGAGGTGTTGAATGTGAAGCTGGGCCAGTCTCTGATGGCTGACATCCAAAGGATGGAGATGACGATAAGGAGGGAATGTGAGCTTCATTTGCTTTTGTTTCGGAGACAACTGGTTGTTTTGATGGTGACTCAGATGCGACCGTTTTATCATTCGATGCTTGTCCAGTCTGTGGTTGGGTTTGATGCTGTGACGAGGGGTGGTAGCCAGTTGGTTCAGAGCCACTGCTTGCCCCGCTCATCTGCCTCACCCTCCCGTGTTCTCCCTCAGAAAACTGGTCCTCGCGCTCCACCTTGGTCCCCGACGACATCAGCGAGGAGTCCTCTTCAGCACCAACATCTAAGCTGGCGCCGTCACCGACTCCCACTGCATCTTTGACTGTGCTGGTGCTCGAGGCCGCGCTTGCGTTTCGACTCCTCGGCTGCGACGGGGGCGCGCCGTGCATCGCCTGTTGCATCAGCCCGCCATCTTTCTTCTTTTGCGATAGCACGGTGTCAGTGAGGAGCATGTGCTGAACTGTGTTTGGTAAGTTGGCTACTTGTGAGCTCAAGGCATTAAGACTATTCAGGCCAGCATCCTGCATTTTGTCATGTGAAGAAGATGAATAAACGGAGGAGCCTTCCTCTCGGGATCCAATTCCTGTGCCTAGATTCATTTTATTGCGGCCCGTCGGAGGAAGATTGCTCCCGCCAACTGCGCTCATGCTGTGAGCTTTATGACTGCCACTGCTACCACAACTACTGATGCTGCTGTTTGAGTTGGGTGTGGGACTTAACTGAGGCATGGTTTGCAGTAATCGACCATGACCATGGCTGCTACGGGGGTTCGATGTAGGAGGATGTGAAGGACCATGACCTGAGGGGTTTCCATGTACCTCTGAGACACCCATCAAAGGAGAAGGAGAGGAGCTACAGCTGGGGGAATGCACTGCCGAGGCAGCCGGAGAAGGGTTGGAAATCGGGCTAAAGTTTTGGTTAATTTGAGTTTGCTGCGCATTCGGATGCATTGGGGATTTGGCTATTTCTTGAGATGCTGGCTGAGGTATACTGGGATTAGAGGCTTGATGAAGTTTAGCATATACAGAGCCTGGAGACGGTCCCTGGTGCTGCATCTTGAGCGAGTTGTCATAACCTACTCCTAAATTGTGCTGCGAGTTGCGGTGCTGTAGTGTGGCTTGCTTGTGAAGTGAATGCGTCTGCGGGGAATATCCTGGATAGGTTGAAGCATGGTAGCTCTGCTGGACATTCTCCATTGGCCCCACATTGTTAGCAGCAACTGAACTGGAGATTGAGTTTGAACTGGAGTTGACACTGGGAGAGCTGTTGACTTTGGGATCAAACCCAGTGCTGGCAGCCCCGTCGAGATATCTCTGCGGAGGGGGGCTGTACATTCCTGATGACCCTGTGGATGCTCCACCCTGTGGAGAGTAGTGTGGGTACTGTGGGGTCATTCTGTGCCCAGAGTGGGGATAGGTCCTATGCTGTTGTCCGTGGTGAACAGCTGGGAAGGTCTGTCCATGCTGGCGGTGTTGCATCTGAGAACCTGGCACTGACTGCATTGCAGGGTTCTGACTCATATTGTACTGATGAGAAGGAGAGAACGCTCCAGCACCTGCGCCTGAACCAGCGCTAGAGCCATAGTCTACTGGATACGGTGACATCAGGCCAGATGTGGGTGCAGCGCTAGATCCAGGATGCCGGTACTGGTGAGGTATATGTCCGTCAATGTTAGGGTAGCCGAAGCCTCCCCCGTAGGCCATACCTCCCCTTCTGTGCCTGTCCTTCCCACCCATTGAAAAATAGTAATCCATGGCATCCTTCCTGTAGGGGTTGTTGCTGCTGCCGCTGTGGATGTTACCCTGTGCTGGCGGTGGCTCCACTGCTCCTCTGCTCCTCGCACTGTAAGCAAGCATGTGGCTGGCTTGACTCGGGTGGTGATGGGCTCTGTGCAGGCTCTGCTGTTGCATCCCCGCGTAATCATCCGTCATCCTCGGGGAGATCTGGGGCTCTGCTGGCTGAGGGGGATACGGAGGTCCGCCTCCACCCCTCCCACTGAAGGCAGGGGGGAGAGACGGGGGAGCTGGACTGTTAGAAAAATTCTGCATTGTTTTTCCAAGTCTGGATTAAAAACGGAAATATCTGTCAGTGTCTATATCAGGGAATGATTATGATGAGAAGCTGGAAGGCTTGTGGCAGTAAGCATAAATGACAAATAGAGAGTCTATGGCCTGGCAGTAAAACAAGGAATTTCTTTTGAAATCCACCAAAGAGCTGAAGCAAAGGAATATATATATATATATATATATATAATTATATATATTTATGGCAGATGTTACAATCACCCTTTTGTAGTGTCTGTAGTGGATGGGGAGGTTAAACAGGCGATGATCTGAGCAACAAAGGAGAAGGCCAAATTGCAAAAAATCTTCTTTTTCAATGTGATCTTGATGGTTTGCCCTCAAAATCAGGTTCACTTAACAGCTGGGTCTTAAAAAAAACAAAAAAAAACAGACTTTTTTCCTAACAAAAAAAGAAAAAAGAAAAAGAGGGAAAAAGATTCAGAGATGTAGTGAAGCAGATTTCTACTTCAGAAAAATACAAGATTAAAAATGAGCAGTCATTCCCACGAAGCTGAAGCCGTTTGGCACCGAGCAGGCAATATCATGGACGACTGCCACATCACCGAGTGAGATTTTAAACCTTAAATGTCTTAACATGTATACACTCCACTATAATAACAGCTCAAGCAAGCCGAGCTATTTTGGGATTAAACCGAGCGGCGATCCAATAGCGTCTCGTGAAAGGAAAAAAAAAAAACAGCTAAATCTCAATAAAACCATCGAGACTGCGCTCCGTCACAGCAATCCTTCAGTTCGTCAACATGTGTGTACGTTTGCCGGGACACTGACTCACACCTGTGTGAGACAAAAACTCCAGTAACGGAATCAACAGGTCTGAGTACAGACCCTCACTCAGCGCTCCCAGAGGCCAACCCTCCATGGATATTCTCATCGGCTCTGAGGCGAGGAGTGCGACTCTTTTTCTTGGTCGTTCCCTTTTGAATACTGTTTCTAGTTTTTTTGCTACTGCATGCATTCATTTGGACTGTAGAAGCATTTGGTCCCTACAGAGTAATTGTTCTTTCCTTGAATGTGTTCGGGTTCTTCTCGGTGCCTTCCTGTGTCTTCAGCATTTAGCCGTCTTACCTTTGTTTTTTTCCATCAACCATCATTTCATTCTACCTAGTTCCATGGCAACAATTTTCCAAAAGGAGGGTAATCCATTTATTCCACTTCAGGTTCAGTCAATTCAGGCTCCGGTTTTCTGTTTCTCTTCAGTATTTCCATGCAGAGAAGTTCGTGTTCCATGAGCTGCCGACCAGATGCCTTCACAACTCTGCGAATACAAAGAGATGAATTAAAAGGGTTAGCATGCAAACAGCAAAAGGCAAAATTTATTACACACGCCTTGTGAAAAGCATCTATTGTGATTAATTATGAAGAGATTTGCACCGTGTGAAAACGCATTACGGGCTCGTGACAGTTTTATGTCGCATGAGTCACATTATTTTACTCATTATTTAACAATTCAGTGTTAAATAAGACATAACAACCGCTGCAATTAGAGCATTAAGAGGCATTTTGAGTGTTTGTTTAGGCTTCCTTTCGATTACTTTGTTTCTAAACTGGCAAAAGGAAAAACAAACAACAACCCAGAGCTGACACAGGATCAAACATGACAGATCCTATAACTGGACTGGTTTTTTGTGGTCACCTGCAAAACAATCACACGTTTACCAAAGCAACAGCGGTTACTCCATGTTGCATATTCCATCCGTTCAACCGCTCGCTCGACTGCTTAAAAGGCTTCCTGGCCTCATATCAATGCCCCTATTTTAATATGCACCCTGAGTACAGCCTTTACTTTGGTTGGCCCTTTAACAATACATGCTTGAGCTGTCTCCTCTGACTGATAACAAACAGGTTTGTTGGAGAGAATAGTGGGAAAGCAGCAGGATTCAATTAAGGGAACAAGGTCACAAACACCTCCTCACATGTAAACAAACAACGAGAAGTCGAGACGGAAGGAGTCCCACTCCCACCTTGTGTGTTTCTTCCCTTACAGCGGGACCATTAACTTCACACTATTTAACTTGTTTTAAGGGGATTTAATTATTACGGGTGATAATTAAAGGGATGACGCCACTTCTTTATGGGGGTCAGCACCTTTAATTGCCATGTGTGACACTCGCCTCTTGTTGTGTGTGTGCCTCAAAAACACTGTAAAAATGGTTAATGGCCCTAAAACACCTTTGGGTGGCTTCTCTCATGCTGGAGACATAAACTGAGTCATGTAATAGCAAATCATCAGCTCAGAGAAAGTGATTAGGAGTCCATCATGGGGGGGCTGCAAACAAACTCACCACTCAATCAGGTGCTACATACATGAGGGTCAGTGCCGGTGAGCACTGCTGATCCAGGTACACATTGATCTCCATCCGTCCATTAGCCCATATCTAGATTACTAATTAATCAGAGCAGCTCGAGCAGCAGCAGCAGCAGCAGCATTCACAACACACAGCACTGGAGGAATAATACAAACTGCAGTCTGTCAGCAAATCAATTGCATAGCTGCTTAATTGATAAGAGCATACGCAGTGTTTTTTCTTCTTCTTCTTCTTTCCAGATAATCATCAAACGCTAGCTCTGGAATATCTGGTCGCCATCAACACAAACACTGAGCCTCAGTAGCCACATTAGCCAACAGCAAAGGTATACGCATTACAATTAGCTTAGTGCCTCTTTTAGCTGTGGCAGATTAGCGTTAGCCAGAACGCCTCACATACTGCAAATTAAATATGCGAGCTAGCCGCATATGTTGGGAGCTAGCTAGGCTACAGCCACTAGTTAGCATCTTAGCAAGACGAGCTAATTTGCGTCTATTCCATTATTGCGAGCGTCCGCGAGCGTGCACAAAACGACAGTTAAAGCAGGCTAAAGGCACGGGGCAGGCAGCAGCTACACAAGAGGGGTGATTAGGTGCAGATGTTCCCCCCCTCGCAAATTCACTGGGGCTCTTGAGTAAATGGGTTAGCTAGCATGAATAACTAGCAAGAGAGCTGGCGTGAGTACCGCATCAGAAAATTACCGTCACGCAGCCTGACATTTTCCCCCGAATAAACACAGCCGAGGCTCGGCGAGCGGAGCCCAGTCAGCCCGAGACAGGCTAGCTAACTGAACGCATACCTGAAAAACGGAGCAATACAAGGCCCCTCGGAGGGTGAAAGGCTGTTTTGTGACAATCCCGCTGCTGTGGCAGGAAACCCCAGTCTAGAGTCGACCGCTCCGCCGCTTTTCCTTCAGCCTTTTGAGTCCAGACAACCCCGACCAGCGGCGGCGAAGTCGGGGGGCCCGTCACGACACTCAGATCCCGGGCCTTTCTTCCGATTTCCCCTTTTTTCTTTTGTCCTCACCTCCAAGAATGATGAGAGCGGAGCACAATCGGGGTGCCTGTGGGTCCCGTAGCCAGCGAGGTCCATACACCCCCGCCCCCTCCCCTCCTCTCCGCTCCGCTCGCCTCTCTCTCCCTCTTTCACACACCGCTGAGGTGATTCCACCTTCCTCCAAGTCGAATTAAACACATCGCCTCTTCGCACGAGCCTCCATTAGCGCGCGGAGATTTCAGCTCCCGTCACTGGATTGCATTTGCATGCCTTCATCAGTGGCTCGAGCCATTCGTTTTCCTGTTAGACTACTGTGTGTGTGTGTGTATGTGTGTGTGTGTGTGTGTGTGTTTTTCTTGCAACAGAAAGACCGCCTTGAAAATGCATACACACTCATATTCCTGCTCCTGCACCCCCTCCCTCATCTCTCTCCATCACATCCCTCCATCTCCCCTCCCTCTCCTCTCAGGCTGGAGCTATTCCATTGATTTCCACCTATTTCTAACCATTCTAATATTCTAAGTGCATTTCTTTTTTTTTTATTTCTGATGATTATTTTTTCTCTACATGTCTGCCCTGAGCATGGAGCTCCTTTGTTCTTATCTAGTGAAAGTGAAATAGCCTCATGAAGGCACCAGGGTACAAAGGCAATATGGAGAGGAGACAGGCTTGAATGGAGTGGTAGGTTGAGTCTGTAATGAACGAGGCAACAGATAAAAGGCAATCTGTGAGGGAATAGGTGTGCCTGCCTTACGGGGAGATTGCAGTGCGGTGGATGGAGCTTGGCAAGTTGGTGTTTTTATGCTGAAACACAAAACCTGCTGCACGCTCATTGCAGCTTTTTTTGCACAAAGAAAAACCACTTAAATCATTACATCTAGCTATTGGTTAATGTTTGACACGACACGCTCAGAGCATCGCCGTGGCCGGAGCGGCCATGGAGGTGCCACAAACAGAATCCTCTCCCCATTAAATTTATTGTGTTGTCTCCGCTGAAGCTTATCTGCTCTCACACAGGGCCGGCGAGTGCAGCGCAGACCCACACACACTCTCCTACCGTCATAATGATGTGCCCTATGCCCCCCATCCATGCTGCTGCACTTTTAATATACTGCAGTGTGTCATACATGCAAACACACACACACACACGCATGGACACCGCACAAAACTCTTGGTGTTGAAACGCACACAGTTTGCACACAAGTATTGCAGCCACTCACTTAAGCTGTCAATCACCGGAGTAAAATCTCTCTGTTTCCAACCAACAGTTCAATACATTTCATTCCCTTGCAGATACACGTCTATTTCTATCATAGTTGCCATAGCAACTGCATCACAGAGCCTTAACTGTGGATAATTTTTAGGCTACGTATCTACATTTGTTTTGCTTTTTTTTTTCTCATGTTGCGATTTCATGCAGACATTCTTGTTTGCTGTTTTTTTTTAAATAAACAAATTTTAAAAAAAAATCTTCAACCACAAATCGTTTGCGAGCGTTTGTGTACTTGCCGCTAAGTCGAAGTGAAAGAGCTGAGAGGCGAGATAAAGGGCACGGATACTCTGGGCCAGCAAGTCAGCCCAGCCAGGCCTATCCAATCAACAGGAACGCCTGCTGGGATACACACAGACTCCTTCCATCACGGACAAGGTCACAAAATCTTCTACAGGAAAAGACTCTGAGCACACAGTCGGGAAGGAAACAACCAGCTTTGAACACACATATATACAAATGTTTTGCAGTAGTGACAGCAGCCTTTAAATAAACCATTTCAGTCATTTATTTATTCGTATGATCTTTGTATTATTTGCATCAGCGGAGGATGAAATCCGGTGTGTGGCTAATTGTTGATATCGTGCCCTCTTAGGCTCAATATGTGCTCGCAGGAGAGGCTGATCTTGGATTGAATGTGAGGATTAAACACACATTTAGTGCGACGGAAGCCAAACAGGTATAAACTTGTGAGACATCTGAGTTAATATCTGGAGTGCAAACTGCAAATGAGAAAAGGAGTTTCCATCACACATCTGTTTTTTATGCTTTTGTACAGTAGGTGCACAGACCTGAGCCGCGGCAAGATGGATGTCATTCAAGCAAGTGAAAGGGCAATTAAAACTCAGCGGGAACTTGGTTCTACAAGCCCGGCGCTTGGAGGGAGGAACAGTGGATAAGTGCTCGCTCTGTGTGCTCGCCGCTCGCCCTGAATACAATCCAGCCCTCAAGTGTCACTTTTATGGCAAAGTGTGAGGCTGCTTAGAAAGTTCTTTCTGCTGCTGATTAGGCTGAGAGCTGATGCTTTGCTAACATTTATAAAAGTCACTCATTCCTGCAGCAGAAGGACTAATATAGTGTGTATTACACTCTTTATACGAGTATGAACCATTGTTGGGTTTGCATATGAAATGTAGTGATGCTAATGATAACATGCTTTAATATAATTGGCTGTTTCTAGTCTGCAACAGTAGATTTAAGGTGCTTAGAAACCAGAAAATGTGCAGCACCTCATTGCATCCTGCAGTCATCCACCCAGAGCAGCAGTAATTTGCAGTTTCCCCGATGACCACATGGAGTCAGAGTCATACAACAAACATGCTGCTGTGATCTCATGCTCACAAACCGGCCTTGCATTTGCAACAGGAGAGAAAAAAGAAAAAGAAATAGCCCTCATATTATTTTGTTTGAAATCCCAGGCCATCAATCCCTTTGAAGTGTGCTGCTTCTAAAGTTATGCTTTGGTACAATTTCACAGTCTTTGATCCCTTCCTTATCCGGAGTGTCTTACAATATCACAATTAGTGTCCCACGGACGTTAAGCATTATGTCAGTACAATGGGCCGCTGCTTTGATGATTCGTGGCTGAAAACATTTCTTTTTTTTTTCTGAGGACGCAGACAAATGAGATGTTGAACTGAGATGTGCTAGTAGGTGTGGAGACCCTCTCTCTCAGTGAAACTCCTGCAGATCAAAGAGCATGATGCAGCCCAGTGGAAACACACTCTGTGGATCTGTGACCTTAGCAGAGTGTGATGATGCAAAGATGTTTTCAGCTTGTTCCCACTGAATGGATGACACGTTTCCACGATCAAGCAGCGTGAAAACACACACTGCAGCTCCAACAAAGCTCCGTCCCGAACACACAAACACGTACGCACTCACCTCTGTGTGATCCTTCTCTTGTTCACCAAAGATAAGAGGTGGCTTAAGGCACTCAAGTGATCCACAGCACTCTGTGGGCATCAGTGACAAAGACTGGCCAGCAGGGAGTGCTCTCTCCTAATGTCCCTCGCCGCTCTCGCATAACTCTCTCTCACACTGAGGCCGGCTGCCACACTCTCCCCGTCGCCTAGCAACCCCCGAACCCTGCCTCCAATCACTACGGATACCGAGAGGGATGGAGGGAGGGTGGGAGAGTGTGAAAGAGAGAGAAGGGTGGGAGAGGAGAGGAGAGGAGAGGCTGGCTCGGCGTCAGCATCAGCATCCCAAACACAAAATGTGCAAAGCTTGAATGCCAGGTAACAAGTTGATGCAAGGGTTTCTAGAGGTGGATTATGGTGGGTGGCGGCGGTGGTGGGAGGGGGGATGAGAGTGGGAGAGGTGAATCATGGAGCTCTCAGTGACATATTGAGATCATAATTCAAATCAGCCATATTACAGAATGTGAAGTGGAGGAGAGTGATTGCCTCAATTAAGCCAGTTTGTCTTGAGGGTCCCCTTTGCTTAGCCGTCTCTCCTCCCTCAGCATCTTCCTCCCGTCTCCTCCTCCTCCTCTTCTTCTTATACTTTCACCCACATTCTCCTGTAGCACATTAAATTTGATGGCGCCGTCATCATCTCTGTCCTGTCCTTGTGACTGGTGGCCAGGCTTTATGACTCCGCTCTTCCCTGGGACCTCATCTTCCCGTTTTCTCCGCCACATGTGCTGAATGTGCAGAGACAGAAATGTACATGCGACACATGACATCACACACGTGTCACTTACGTTCAGGGGATGACACACGCGGTCGAACGTCACACGACGAGCCCGTAGCGTTCTGCGTGTATGTCATGCAAACCGAACACAAAGAGGAAAAACACACACGCCTGCACATGCTCGTCACTCCCCAGTCACACCACGCAGGCTTTCACACACTCCCCGTGTGATGCTACAGTGACCTTAGACACTGGATCTCCTGCCCCCCGTGGCGGCTGTCATATGGGGATGTGTCACGCACATGCACGCATGACGGGCTTCAGTCGGGAAGACGGAGCCGCTATCAATGTCAGGTTGATGCACAGCAGGAGACGCTGGAGTGAAAGCTGACAGGTTGTGTGCACCTCACAACAACTGCAAACAAATGTGATGCTTGGAGGGAGAGAAGAAAAAAAAAGTGGATACACATAGATAATATAATAGGTGTGAGTTTGTCAAGCAACCAGCATGTTTAATGTTGCTCTACCAGCAGGGTGAAAGAAAGATTTAATGCACAAGGACTCATAATAATCAGCTTGCCTCCGTTTTCTGGCTGCAATGACGATTATTTCTCTTTACGATGGACGTGTGATGTAAGTGTAGGATGTGATGTTTCAGTTCTCACCACACTGAAAGACGTCCTTTTATATGTTTCAAGACATGAGCGGAATAAGCAGTCGTGCCGTGGCTGCAGAGAAGTTTTACAGCGTTCGAGCAGAGTTGCAGGTGAGCCGACGTGCTTGAGCTGCAGCCAGTGGGTGGAGGGAGAGGTGGAGAGAACTTCTTGATGTGTAATTTTGATGCACAGAGATGAGGTTTTATGGTTGACTTTACTGTAGAGGATGATGCAGAGAAAGACACACGAGCAAGTTAAATATCAAGCAAAATAAATAGAAGTAAAATGTACACATCCATCATCTCTACACCTTCGTCCTCACTAGGGTCATGGGGGGCTGGAGTCTATCCCAGCTGACTCAGGGTGAAGGCAGGTTCACCTGGACAGGTAACCAGTCTATCACAGGGCTACACTTAGAGACAGACAACCAAGCACACTCACATTCACACCTACGGACAATTTACAATCACCAATTAACCTCAGCATGTTTTTAGAGGAAGCCGGAGAACCCGGAGAGAACCCACGCTGCACGGGGAGAACATGGAGACTCCACGCAGAAAGATCTGGACACGAACCGACGACCTTCTAGCTGCGAGGCGATGGTGCTAACCACTGATCCACCTTGCAGCTATAATACATAACACTATGCTATGACATGACATAAGTATTTCGAGTCGAGTGACACGTTTGTCTGCGATCGACAGAATAAATGAAGGAGGGAGAGGAAAG